GATCTCTTGCTTTCTGTCTCTCTGTCTCGCTATGTCTCTCTGGTAAGTGCAGGTACCCTATAGCAAAAATAATCTCTTTTTTTAAAAAAAGGAAAGAGAACACAAAGATACAGAGAGGAGGGCCGTGTGAAGACAGAGGCAGAGATTGGAGTTGCACAGCTATACACCCAGGAACACCACAGTTTGCTGGCAGCGATGCCTGAAGTCACCAGTAGCTCCAAGAGGTAAGAGAAGAGGCCAGTCTCCCTGGAGACTTCAGAGGGCAGGTAGCCTTGCTGATACCTCAATGTCCAGCCTCTGGCCTCCAGAAGAGAGAAAATAAATTTGTGTGGTTTCTGCCACCAAGTTTGTGGTCCTTTGTTATGACAGCCCTTGGAAATGAATGCATATGCTGTCCTAACCTTGTCACTGCTCGTGTGGGAACTTAGGGAGAACGTCAGCCTGGACTCCTCATCCACACTTATGGAACCATCCTTGAGCCCAGAGCTCATCACCAATGATGTGCCTCGAACATTTCTTTATTGTATTTTTTCTTTTGTTCTGCTTTGTTTTGTTTTGTGCTTTTTTGTTTGTTTTTGTGTTTGTTTTTGCCAAGGGCACATACATTCACCAGAGAGACAGAAAGGGAGAAAGCCCTCTCCAGTGGAACATGGTCATGTCGCAGCCCCTTCCATTTCTCCATCCCGTCAAGATTGTGGACACCCATGCACCTGAGCCCTGGTGTGTTTTTCAAGCTGCTGGGCTGAGATTCAAGTTGCAGTCAGCCATGTGGAATCTGATTTTTTATGCATAGCACGTAACTGCTGCACTATGGGGCTGGTCCAGTGTCTTGGGTTTTGTTTATTTCGTTCTTTCATCTGTGAGCAAAAGAAACAGAGACAGAGACAGAGACAGAGAGCCATCTTCAATAGTGCTTTCATGCCACAATCCATCCCCAGCCCAGGATTACTGGCATGCCCCATGCACTCAGGAAGATCTCTGGATGTGAACCTGGAACCTTCTCATGTTGGTCAGTCTTCCAGAGCATTCTCTGACAGATCTAAGAAGAGTTGCAGATTTTTGGTTTATTCAGCCTTCATCTTGTGTGGATGGAAGAGATATCTTCCAGGTTCCTCACAAACTACACCAGAAACCATTAGTTATTCATCATGTTTTTAAATCAACGATCTACTTGCACAAGGCTAAAGAGTTCATTGGCTTTAAAATACTTGTTTTAAAAAAGTCCTCAGTCCTCCTTCCTCCCGTTGTTTTTTATTTATTTTTTTTAGAGGTTTTTGCTATAAGGCATGTGCTTGCCAGAAAGACAGACAGTGACAGAGAGACAGAAAGAGAGAAATTGCCCCCCAGGGAATGGCCACGCTGCAATCCTTTCTCCTCCATTCTCTTCTTGGGATCTTGGGCACACACACACACACGCACCCGGTGTAAGTTTAAGCCACCGGATCCGGGACTCAAACCGCAGTCGGCTACATGGGAGTCCAGTGACATAGCTATTACGCTAACTGCTGGTCCCCCTCCCATTGTTTTTTCCCCAAGGACAAAACCACTTTCAAATCTTCTGTTTTTTGTTTTCTTCGTAATATCATGTCTCTAAATGACATGCTTGTGCTGCTCTGTCTACAGTTAGATGTTATTAGCAATATAGATATTGCTCTAATACTGTTAGATATTATCTACTGACATCCCACTATGGCACAAGGCATCTGCAGTCTTTCCTCTCCCCATCTCCCACCACACACACTGCACGCTCCCTTTCCAACGTAGTGATGTCTTGCTTCTGGCCGGATTGATACACAACACTTACGTTATGACTACTTAGGTGCCATTCAGAACGAGTGTGCTGTTTCCACATAACTCATCTTCCTGGAGTTAAGCGTTGTCTTGTTTGTATGTTTGGTTGGTTAATTTCATATGTATTTATCACCAAACTCCACCATGTTTTCCTCTTTCTTTCTTTCTTTCTTTCTTTCTTTCTTTCTTTCTTTCTTTCTTTCTTTCTCTCTCTCTCTCTCTCTCTCTCTCTCTCTCTCTATCTCTCTCTCTCTCTGTCTCTCTCTCTGTCTCTTTCTTTCTTTCTTTCTTTTTTAAATTTGCCAGAGGGTGTTTGCTGGGGGTTGGGGGAGAGGGACAACAAAGCACCATATGGGGGATAGTCAAACTACAATCTTTTTTTCCCTCCATTTCTCCTTCCTTTGGGGATTTTGGGCACATACTCAAATTTGCCCGGTGTGTTTCTCAAGCTGTTGGGTCTGGGACTTGAACCACGCAGTCAGTCACGTGGGATCCAGTCACCTTAGTCATCACACCACTGGGAGACCCTCCATCCTAAATCTCCCGTCAGACACATCACTGGCACGTTACACACATACTTTGAATAGTGTCTGGAATAGCATGTGCATTCAATACGTATTTGTTTAAATGAATTTAATCAAGTGGCTTTTCAATGTCACACTCCTTAAGAAGTCCCTCCTGGAGGAATGCTTATGATTGCTCCAACACAGCCCGTGTGCTGGCTCTGCCTGTCCACAGCTGCCATCCCAGGATCTGCCTGCCCCATTATGACGTGTTGTTTTCTGGGGCCATTCTTTCCTTCTTTCCTCCCTTTAGAAGCAAACCCCTCACTGCAGTGTAGCAGGCATAAGGCTGCCAGGCTAGAGACTACATCTCCTAGGCTTCCTTGTGAACAGGGATGGATATGTGGTCAGTTCTGACTAATAGGAATGGCAAGGGCTTGCTCTCTTCCCGAAGGCCAGAATGCCGATGGAGTATTGGTGAGCCAGATGGGACAACATCCTAGGAGGTGGTTAAAAAATCGAGGCCCCTGGCCAGCTTCATAGAAGAGAGCCATCTACGTTCGCAGGACAACACACCTGCTCTGAAGAGAGAAATACACTTCAGGGCTGGCTCCATGGCCTGGTGGTTAAGGCAGCTAGATCCCACATAGCTGACTGTGCGGTTCAAATCCCAGACCTGGTGACTTGAGAAATATACTAAGCATGTGTGTGCATGTTCCAAATCCCCCAAAGAAGGGAGAACGGATTGTGGCATGACCAGGCCCCATGGAGGTTGCTTTCTCCTCTCCTTCTCTGTCTGTCTCTCTGGCGAGCACACGTGCTTGAAAAGTAGAGAGAGACAAGAAAGAAAAACAGACTTTCTCACTGTATTTGAGCCACTGTAATTTTTTCTTGTCTTTTTTAAAGACTTATTTTATTTAACTTTATTTATTTATTTATTTATTTTAATTTGATGAGAGAGAGAGAGAAAGTGAGAAAGCAAGTCACCAGGACCAGAACTTGAACTGCAGTTGACCATGTAGGAGTCCAGTGCCCTCAACCACCATGCCACCTGCCATCCCTGAGTCACTACAGTTTTTTTAAAGAGAGATGATTGCTATAGTGCATGTGCAATCACCGGAGAGACAGACAGAAAGCAAGAAACCAACCCCCAGAGGGAATGGCCACGCGTCAATCCCTTCCCTTCCATTCTCCTCTAGGGATTCTGGGCAGGCATACACACGCGCCTGCTGTGTTTTAAGCCACCAGGTCTGGGACTCGACCAACAGTCAACTACATGAGTGTCCACTGACATAAACATTATACCAACTGCTGGTCCCGAGTCACTGTATTTTAAGGTTTTTTTGTTACAGGAGTTCAACCTGCCTTCCAGTAATTCAATTGTTATTGTTGGAGGTAATATTTTTCTCTCACCTGGGGTTTTTCTCTTATTTTCTACATCCCATGTCTTTTATTAGCTGACCTCATTTTCATGGAGCAAATCCTTAAGGAGCTTCCCCCCAAAAAAAAGTCTATGAAAGAAAGGTATTTCAAGGCTTGTATGTCAGGAAAGATGTTTATCTTATCTCAGTATGTGATTAACGGCTCATGTGGGTACTGAACTGCCTTCGGAATTTCTAATGTCACTTCCTGAGGTCGAAAGATATCCGATTTTTAATCCTCTGTATATGATATTTTTGTTTTTGGTATTACCTCTCTAAAAGCTTATAGGATCTTTTCTTTATCTCTATTATTCTGAAATTTTACAACTATAACCTTTGCTGTAGCCCATTTTCATCTCTCATGCTGGGCACTCCGTGGGCTTCTTCTGTATAGAAATTCATCCTTGCAATTCTGGACGATTTCCTTAAATTATTTCTTTGATGAGTTCCTCCCTGTTTTGTTTGTTTGTTTCTTTCTTTCTTTTTCTCCTTCCCTCCCTCTTCCCCGTCCTCCTCCTTCTTTTTCCTTCTCTTACTGTCCCTCTCACCCCAGTCGTTCAGATCCTGTACCTTCCAGACCGGCTCAATAACATTCTTGCTCCCTTTTGGCCTTATTTTATTTTTTGCTCTACTAGCTGAAAAATGTTTTCAAATTTATCTTCCAACTCAGCTATTAATTTTAAAAACCAATTCTGCTGTCATGCTTTAAACTTTCAACGAGTCTTTTTTGTTGTTGTTGTTCTCTAGATATTCCTTTTTATAATAGCCTGTTCTTGTTTCATTTATAGAGTACATTATATTTGGAATAGGAGGACTAATGAGCTCTTTGAAAGCTCTGAGTAAGTGGAGGGGGCCTGGTGGCTTTGAATTTCAATATAAGGTGATCTGACTGGAAAACACTTGGTGAACTCCTGATGTGAGTATATCTCCTCTTGGGGTGATCAGATTCCCGGAGAAGATTCTTCCAGTCTCTACTCTGAAGGATAAAAGCCTGTCTGCCATCATTCTCAGGACTCAATGGGCAAAGAAGGCTGGTGGTCCCAGCATTCAGGACCATCCATTCACGTAAGCCACCTCCTGTCTGCCCCACTCCTTCCTCTGCTTCACAGGGAATTTATCTTTCAGTTGTACCTGGTGTTGCCTAACCCAGAGATATGAGGTTTCTGCCTTTCCAGAAAATAAGTCTTTAGTCTTCATCTAGGACCAGGGAGTGTTAGTCAACCATAGACATGTTATGAGAGAGGAGATTCAGGATACCACAAGCTTCTAAAGAGCTTTCACCCACCTCTCGTTGTGGCCTGCGTCCTTCTCTCCAATCCAGAGGTAGCTGGTGTTGTTAACTCCTGACCCTTCTCGAAGTCTGCCAGCAGATGAAGCCGTGTCTCAGTCCTCCCCATTGCTGTCACGGGTTTGGTTTTCTTGGGTCTGCTAAGTCACCCGTGATATTTCTAGCCTCCAAAATTGTGTAGTTGTTGTCTCGTTTCTCTTCTCCTCACTGAAGTGTGTTTCTATCTAAAAGCACAACAAAACAAAACCCTTTATTATAGCTTTAGTGGTGTTTCAGGAGGGAGCAAAATTAAATGTGTATGTGGTTAACTCACTATCTTTGCTCAGAAGTCTGGAATGCTTCCTTGTATGTATGTTATATCTGTGTGTTTGGCATTAGCTATGACGTCAAAGGTTTCTGGAGTGCTTTGCAAGCAATTAGTATCTTCTTTCCACGACAACACAAAAAGAGACCTAGAGACTATCTCCTGGGTATGCGCGCACGTGGGCACACACACACACACACACACACACACACACACACTCCTCATCAGATTCTTAGGTAACTTAGAACCTGTCAACACATGAAGCAGCTGAAGAGAGTGCATTCTGCAAAGTGCTGAACTTAACTACACAGAGCTCGGTCCCTGCACCTTTTAGCCACCTGGAGCCCCATATTCAACAAGGTAAGCCCATGCAGGAATCACTGACAGATAGATACTGCAATGATGTAAAAGACTGACCCAAGGAATACTTACGGAATTCATCTGAAAAAGATAAAGAAAGTAATATGATGGAGAGTGAAAATATAAAAGACTTAGAAATAGATTCAGGGGATCCAGCTAACTAATTGTGGGAATTCTGTAAAGAGAGAAACTATAACAAGAGGCTACAATGGAAAAATTATTTTTAAAAACCTGCCCCTTAACTGAAGAAAGATGTTAGTCTTCATGACAAAAGGGTCCATTAAGTTATCAAGAAAACATGGTATTCAATAAATCTTTGCATAATAAATTAATAAATAATGAAAGTAAATCAGATAGACTTTTTTTTTTTGAGAGATTTTCACTGTAGGGCGCGTGCGCTCGCCAGACAGACAGAGAGAGACATAGAGACAGAAAGCGAGAAATCACCCCCCAGGGGGGATGGTCACGCCACAATCCCTTCTCCTCCATTCTCCTCTCAGGATCTTGGGCACGCACGCACACGCGCCCGGCGTGAGTTTCAAGTCACCGGGTCCGGGATACGAACCGCGGTTGACTATGTGGGAGTCCAGCGACATAGCCATTACGCTAACTGCCGGTTCCCAATCAGGTAGACTTTTATAGTTTCAGCTATAAATAAAAACCCCTGTATGGATCCAAGTAAAAACACAATGGGTTGGGACCAGCAGTTAGCATAATGGCTATGTCGCTGAACTCCCAAGTAGTCAACCACGGTTCGACTCC